GAGGGAGGAATAAGAGTGGCTGCCACTACCACACCATGCCATAACATACCCATGACCAGGCCTCATTGCAAGGTGACTTTTGAGTCGACTCAAAAGTCACCTCATACCCATCACCAGCCCTCATTGCAAGCTATCCTTCAAGAGAGGGAGACCCTTCACTGGCGTTGGGGAGGGAGGAGAGGAAGGAGAGTGGGAGGGGGCGAGGAAAAGTGAGGGGGGAATTCACTTTCTGACTAACACACTCACTCACTCACATGTGCCAGTCGAGCAAAGGCAGGCAGCAACGGCACGAGGAGGGCTGTGGAGAGAGAATACCAAGGGGCGCCATGCACAGCAGATTGGCGTCTGAGGAGGAGGAGCGAGTGCAGGGGAAGATGTGGATCAGGGATTGGGGAGGAGACGATTGAGAAGAGGGAGGCACGAGAAGGGCAGTGGAGAGAATGCCCAGTAGTGCCATAACCAGCAGATTGGCGCCTGGGTAGAAAAAGCAAGCAGGAGCGGGATGAGGGAGCAACCCCGTTTACTCCTGACAGCAAGCAGGGAGAGGGATGAGGGAGCGGGGGAAGAAGGAGGGGAGCCAGGAGCGCAGAGAGACAATGAGGGAGTGGAGGAGAGAGAGCCGAAAGGTGGCATGACCAGCAGATTAGCGTTTGGGGAGGGGAGAGAGCAGGGGCAAGGGATGGATCAGGGATTGGGAGTGTAGTTTTGAGGCGCCTCAAAACGAGAGCAGGGGCAAGGATGGATCAGGGATTGGGGAGTGCATGATGAGGAGAGGAGGGCACGAGGAGGGGAGTGGAGGAGAATGCCGAGAGAACGCCATAACCAGCAGATTGGCGTCTGGGAGGGGATAGGCCAGGAAAAAAAGGTCCGAGAAGTGGCGATTTGAAGGCATCTGGTGCTGCAAAGATTGAATAGAAAACACACAGCACTCACAGCCAAGAGCAGCAGCAGTGCCGGGTAGGAGGAGGCAAAATAGAGGACTGTGAAGGTGGCGATGCGGGTGGCGAAATGGGGACAGTGGGTGCAGGGAGGGAGTGCCGAGTCCAGCAACGCACAGCACCACCCAGAGACAGGAGCACAGCTCACACAGCACTCACAGCCGAGAGCAGCAGCTTGGTGGCGGGTAGGAAGGAGGCAAAATAGAGGTCTGTGAAGGTGGCGATAAGAAGGTATTGGTGAAGGGAACGATGAGTAGAGAGCAGCACACGGCACTCACAGCCGAGAGCAGCAGCAGTGGCGGGGAAGGGAAGGAAGGAAGCAAAATAGAGGTCAGTGAAGGTGGTGACGCGGGGGGGGGACATTGGATGCAGGGAGGGGAGTGCCGAGTCCAGCCACGCACAGCACCCAGAGGCAGGAGCACAGCACACACACAGCACACACACAGAACACACACAGCACACACACAGCACACACACAGCACACACACAGCACACACACAGCACACACACAGCACACACACACACACAGTGCCGAGCACAGCACACACACAGCACTTACAGCCGAGAGCAGCAGCGGTGCCGGGAAGAAAGGAAGCAAAATAAAGGTCGGTGAAGGTGGCGATCTGAAGCATGCCCGACGCAACTGTGGCTGGGATCAGCACACCAAAGACCTGACGGGAAGAGTGCGGTTAGAGGAAGCCAACAAGGCAGGAGCATAAGAGGATATTGTTATTTCCTGATGGTGCTGCTGGTGCTGATGGTGCTGCTGGTGCGATTATAATCGGCACCTTCTCACTCTCTCAGTTGCTCGTTGTGTCGGCGAAGAGTGCCGTTAGAGGAAGCCACCTAGTGGCAGGCCCATGAGAGTGTGGTGCTGTTACTGAGACTGTTGCTGCAGGTGCTGCTGATGGTGCTGGTGCTGGTGCTGGTGGTGCTGCTGCTTTTGATGTTGTTGTTGGTGCTGTGGGTTGTGGTGGTGCTGTTGCTTCTGCTGGCGGTGCTGCTGGCGGCGCTGGCCGTGGAACATCCTCTGGCGGTTCGGTCGTCACCACCAGTTGAAGTGCGCCTGGTGTTGTTGTTTCAGTCAGTGTTTTCGCCACCATCCCTCGCTGTGGTGCTGGCGCCGAGCGGACTTCTGCTGCAAGCTGGGATAGGTATGGGCAGAGGGGGTTTGGAGACGTTGAAGGGGATAGGAAGAGAAGGTTCGAACAACAGATGGACTGTTTTTCATTGTAAGCCTGAAAGGAGACGAGAGCACCTGAAAGGAGACGAGAGCACCTGAAAGGAAACGAGAGCACCTGAAAGGAAACGAGAGCACCTGAAAGGAAACGTGAGCACCTGAAAGGAAACGTGAGCACCTGAAAGGAAACGTGAGCACCTGAGAGGAAACGTGAGCACCTGAGAGGAAACGTGAGCACCTGAGAGGAAACGTGAGCACCTGAGAGGAAACGTGAGCACCTGAAAGCACAGGAATGCACCTGAATCAGCCACTGCATGAGAGCGCCAGCCGTAAAGCTGACAGCCAAGCATGTTCCACCTGCCATGCAAGAGAAGGAAGGAAGAGAAGCAAGAGAAAAGAAGGTCAGAAAAAGAAACAAGATATTAAACAACTGATGAGAGCATGGAGAGAGAAGAGAACCAATTGGCAGAGAGGTGCTGAGAGCAGTGCAAAGGTCACGGACTTATCACGGACCTATCAACGACCTATCACACACACACCTATCCCGAACCTATCCCGAACCTATCACACGGACCTATAATCTCGCGTTGCGGTGAAGCTATAGGGTGCCAGCGACACAGAGCGAAGAGGGAAGTGTTGGGAGGGGGAAAGAGGGTGTTGTCAACAAGGAGGGGAGCAACAAGGGGAAGGGGGGGGGGGGGGGGGGGGGAAGGGGGGGGGACGAGAGAAAGCATTGGGGGCGGGGGATATGGAATGGCAAACTCCCCTCTTACATGGTGAAGACCCTTGCGAACCTTTTTCAATGGTATTTTGTAGTATTACGCTTAGCAGAACACCCTTTGTTTACCCTTTTTATGAGCTCTAGAGACTTACCCCAACCAGAACGGAGAGGCTGGAGAGGGACGGGGAGAGAGACGGAATGGCAAACTCCCCTCTCGCACTGTTGGGATGGGTGGTGGCGGGGAGCAATGGGGATGGAACGAAGGGGTGATGAGGGATGTAGAGGGATGGATGCTGAGAGGCTGGAGAGGGACGGGGAGAGGGATGGGATGGCAAACTCCCCTCTCGCACTGTGGGATGGGAATGATGGGATGGAAGCAATGAGGGAAGAATGAATGGGTGCTGCTTAGGTATGCTGAGGGGAGCAGACAGGCAGGCAGGCAGGCGGGCAGGCAGGCAGGCAGGCAGGCAGGCAGGCGGGCAGGCAGGCAGGCAGGCAGGCAGGAACACACGACACGAATCACCTGAGCGTTCCGAAGCCAATGCCGATGAGAGGAGCGAGGGCGATGGTGGGGGCCATTTGACGCAGCTGCAGGGGTAAGGAAAGGGGGAGCGCGGTTTATAGAGATTGAGGCATGGGGGTAGGGACGCAGGGTCTGGAAAAAAAACGGTCAAGGTCTCATAGAGACTGGTCATAGTGTGCTTAGGAGGAGGAGAGGAGCGAGGGCGATGCTGGGGGCCATTTGTCGTAGCTGCACGTAAAGGGGCCATTTGGTAAGGTAAGGGGAGCACGTTATATAGTGATTGAGGCCTTGTGTGATGAGGAGGAGGAGGAGGAGGAGGAGGAGGAGGATGAGGAGGAGGAGGAGGAGGAGGAGGAGGAGGAGGAGGAGGAGGAGGAGGAGGAGGAGGAGGAGGAGGAGGAGGAGGAGGAGGAGGAGGAGGAGGAGGAGGAGGAGGAGGAGGAGGAGGAGGAGAGGAGCGAGGGCAACGTCTCAAAAATAGGAGGATACGGGTGAGGCCAATGCAGTGAGCCGCATTCTGCAGCTGATGCTGGGAGTGCATCAGCTGGGATTAATTGGGGGAATTGATAGTCAAGCATGGGAAACATGTCACATAGAAGCATGTGTGGCACTTGCCTGGGAGATGGCGATGTGGCACTTGCCTGTGAGATGGCGATGTGGCACTTGCCTGGGAGATGGCGATGTGGCACTTGCCTGGGAGATGGCGATGTGGCACTTGCCTGGGAGATGGCGATGTGGCACTTGCCTGGGAGATGGCGATGTGGCACTTGCCTGGGAGATGGCGATGTGGCACTTGCCTGGGAGATGGCGATGTGGCACTTGCCTGGGAGATGGCGATGTGGCACTTGCCTGGGAGATGGCGATGTGGCACTTGCCTGTGAGATGGCGATGTGGCACTTGCCTGTGAGATGGCGATGTGGCACTTGCCTGTGAGATGGCGATGTGGCACTTGCCTGGGAGATGGCGATGTGGCACTTGCCTGGGAGATGGCGATGTGGCACTTGCCTGTGAGATGGCGATGTGGCACTTGCCTGTGAGATGGCGATGTGGCACTTGCCTGTGAGATGGCGATGTGGCACTTGCCTGTGAGATGGCGATGTGGCACTTGCCTGTGAGATGGCGATGTGGCACTTGCCTGGGAGATGGCGATGTGGCACTTGCCTGTGAGATGGCGATGTGGCACTTGCCTGTGAGATGGCGATGTGGCACTTGCCTGTGAGATGGCGATGTGGCACTTGCCTGGGAGATGGCGATGTGGCACTTGCCTGGGAGATGGCGATGTGGCACTTGCCTCGGAGATGGCGATGTGGCACTTGCCTGTGAGATGGCGATGTGGCACTTGCCTGTGAGATGGCGATGTGGCACTTGCCTGCGAGATGGCGATGTGGCACTTGCCTGCGAGATGGCGATGTGGCACTTGCCTGTGAGATGGCGATGTGGCACTTGCCTGGGAGATGGCGATGTGGCACTTGCCTGGGAGATGGCGATGTGGCACTTGCCTGGGAGATGGCGATGTGGCACTTGCCTGTGAGATGGCGATGTGGCACTTGCCTGTGAGATGGCGATGTGGCACTTGCCTGGGAGATGGCGATGTGGCACTTGCCTGGGAGATGGCGATTGTAGCACTTGCCTGTGAGATGGCGATGTGGCACTTGCCTGTGAGATGGCGATGTGGCACTTGCCTGTGAGATGGCGATGTGGCACTTGCCTGGGAGATGGCGATGTGGCACTTGCCTGGGAGATGGCGATGTGGCACTTGCCTGTGAGATGGCGATGTGGCACTTGCCTGTGAGATGGCGATGTGGCACTTGCCTGTGAGATGGCGATGTGGCACTTGCCTGTGAGATGGCGATGTGGCACTTGCCTGGGAGATGGCGATGTGGCACTTGCCTGGGAGATGGCGATGTGGCACTTGCCTGTGAGATGGCGATGTGGCACTTGCCTGTGAGATGGCGATGTGGCACTTGCCTGGGAGATGGCGATGTGGCACTTGCCTGGGAGATGGCGATGTGGCACTTGCCTGTGAGATGGCGATGTGGCACTTGCCTGTGAGATGGCGATGTGGCACTTGCCTGTGAGATGGCGATGTGGCACTTGCCTGTGAGATGGCGATGTGGCACTTGCCTGTGAGATGGCGATGTGGCACTTGCCTGTGAGATGGCGATGTGGCACTTGCCTGTGAGATGGCGATGTGGCACTTGCCTGTGAGATGGCGATGTGGCACTTGCCTGGGAGATGGCGATGTGGCACTTGCCTGGGAGATGGCGATGTGGCACTTGCCTGTGAGATGGCGATGTGGCACTTGCCTGTGAGATGGCGATGTGGCACTTGCCTGGGAGATGGCGATGTGGCACTTGCCTGGGAGATGGCGATGTGGCACTTGCCTGTGAGATGGCGATGTGGCACTTGCCTGTGAGATGGCGATGTGGCACTTGCCTGTGAGATGGCGATGTGGCACTTGCCTGTGAGATGGCGATGTGGCACTTGCCTGGGAGATGGCGATGTGGCACTTGCCTGTGAGATGGCGATGTGGCACTTGCCTGTGAGATGGCGATGTGGCACTTGCCTGTGAGATGGCGATGTGGCACTTGCCTGGGAGATGGCGATGTGGCACTTGCCTGTGAGATGGCGATGTGGCACTTGCCTGGGAGATGGCGATGTGGCACTTGCCTGTGAGATGGCGATGTGGCACTTGCCTGGGAGATGGCGATGTGGCACTTGCCTGGGAGATGGCGATGTGGCACTTGCCTGGGAGATGGCGATGTGGCACTTGCCTGTGAGATGGCGATGTGGCACTTGCCTGTGAGATGGCGATGTGGCACTTGCCTGGAGATGGCGATGTGGCACTTGCCTGTGAGATGGCGATGTGGCACTTGCCTGTGAGATGGCGATGTGGCACTTGCCTGTGAGATGGCGATGTGGCACTTGCCTGGGAGATGGCGATGTGGCACTTGCCTGTGAGATGGCGATGTGGCACTTGCCTGTGAGATGGCGATGTGGCACTTGCCTGTGAGATGGCGATGTGGCACTTGCCTGGAGATGGCGATGTGGCACTTGCCTGTGAGATGGCGATGTGGCACTTGCCTGTGAGATGGCGATGTGGCACTTGCCTGTGAGATGGCGATGTGGCACTTGCCTGGGAGATGGCGATGTGGCACTTGCCTGTGAGATGGCGATGTGGCACTTGCCTGTGAGATGGCGATGTGGCACTTGCCTGTGAGATGGCGATGTGGCACTTGCCTGTGAGATGGCGATGTGGCACTTGCCTGTGAGATGGCGATGTGGCACTTGCCTGTGAGATGGCGATGTGGCACTTGCCTGGAGATGGCGATGTGGCACTTGCCTGGGAGATGGCGATGTGGCACTTGCCTGGAGATGGCGATGTGGCACTTGCCTGTGAGATGGCGATGTGGCACTTGCCTGTGAGATGGCGATGTGGCACTTGCCTGTGAGATGGCGATGTGGCACTTGCCTGTGAGATGGCGATGTGGCACTTGCCTGTGAGATGGCGATGTGGCACTTGCCTGTGAGATGGCGATGTGGCACTTGCCTGTGGAGATGGCGATGTGGCACTTGCCTGTGAGATGGCGATGTGGCACTTGCCTGTGGAGATGGCGATGTGGCACTTGCCTGGGAGATGGCGATGTGGCACTTGCCTGGGAGATGGCGATGTGGCACTTGCCTGGAGATGGCGATGTGGCACTTGCCTGGGAGATGGCGATGTGGCACTTGCCTGTGAGATGGCGATGTGGCACTTGCCTGGGAGATGGCGATGCGGCGAGTCAGGGCGAATGATGCCACTGCTGATGGGTCACTGGCGAGGGCTGCTGGGGGGGAAGAGAGGCTGGAAAGGGAAAGGGGAAGCGTTCTTGAGTGTGCCGAGACAAAGGGAAACGTGTCGGGAAGAGAAGAGCGAATGATGGTGTTGCAGATGGTGGCAAGGGCTGCTCGGGGGAAGAGAGGCTGGAAAGAGGAAGGGATAACGCTTTTGAGGTTGCAAAGAAGAAACAGAAATGGGAGAGCAAAAGAGAAGAAACAGCTAGCATGTAGCTTTGAAAAGAACGGACAGACACTTTTTACCGCACAGCACCACACATTGCCACACATCACCACGCATCACCACAAGCCATGCTGTTTTACCCAAGTGCAAGGAAGTTGACTGACTATGTATGGATTCCCAATGCCATGCCATGCCATGCCATGCCATGCAATGCCATGCCATGCCATGCCACGCCATGCCATGCCATGCCATGCCATGCCACGCCATGCCATGCCACGCCATGCCATGCCATGCCAAGTCATGCCGCATTACCCGGGAGCAAGAAGGTCTATGATGGGCCGTGCACAGAGAAAGATCAGCAGGGCTGCGATTATTGACACCTGGAAGACAAAGAGAGGGGCAGGGAGGGGCGAACTGGGGATTGACTGACTGTAGAGAACTCTCTCATGTGACTCAGATATACCAGGGCATGCAAGCATATGAGCATCTTTTTTAGGTTTCTCAAGAACACCCTACCCTAATACCAGGGCATGCACGCATATGATGACAGGGGGTGGCGTGGCAGCGGCATTACCAGCGCTACGAGCACCGAGACAAGAACCAGCAGCTCCTGCTGCTCCCTCGGTGCATTCTGACTGCTCCACCCAGCACCCTTCTCAGCATCCTTCCTAGCATCCCTCTCGCCACCTTTGCTGTGCGGGCGGGAAACACACATTTGGTTGCATTGCAAGAAGGCAAACGAAAGATGAAAAGGCCGGCCGCCGGGAAATCTAAGAACATAAGATTATAACTCAGATGGTTCTTGTGGGAACTGCATTTTCTTCTATTTCTTTAATTCCTGCATGCGGATTTCATTTGTAGAGTCAATGATAGCATATAAGCAAACTTCCTAATATCCACTCGGCATACCTTAGGACTGAGGCAATGGCACTGTGAAAGGGGCCGTTCACACCTGTTTATGGGGGTTTGCACAGGAGGCATAGATATGTGGGGCAGGTGGTATGTGGGGCAGGTGGTATGTGGGGCAGGTGGTATGTGGGGCAGGTGGTATGTGAGGCAGGTGGTATGTGGGGCAGGTGGTATGTGAGGCAGGTGGTTTGTGGGGCAGGTGGTATGTGGGGCAGGTGGTATGTGAGGCAGGTGGTATGTGGGGCAGGTGGTCGCCATTGAAGTGAGTACGATTGAAGGGGCCGAGTGAATTGGGACTTTAAAAGTGAAAAGTGCAGAAAGCGAGTCACGACTAAAAAGCATTTTTTTTCGGTAAGGAACTGAGCTGACCTCCGAGCAGCGACAGGCAGAAGGTTGGAATGAGCGACGCGTAGCTGGGATGGATTGTAGGGGTGGGGAGAGGGAGTGGGGATTAGGGGAGGGGCGAGGGGAGAACGGGTGAGAAGGGGGGGAACGGAGCGAGGAGGCAGACGGTTGGGATGAGCGACGCGTAGCTGGGAAAGGGGGGAGGGGGGATGAGGGGAAAGTGGGGGATGAGGGGAAAGTGGGGGATGGGGGGAAAGTGGGGGATGGGCGGAAAGTGGGGGATGGGGGGAAAGGGGGGATGGCTGTGGAGAGGTGAGAGTGGACAGGGAATCGAGGGATTGAAGAGGGACGGAAAAAAAGTGGAACTTACAAGAATCTGAGGCTAGTGACAATCTGAACCCACCTGGAAGCACCTGATTCACCTGAGGAAGCACCTGAGGTACCTGAAAGACACATGAATGACGGTGCCCGCAAACACCTGAGGATACTGAGAAACACCTAAGGGCACCTGAAGGCACCTGAGGACACCTGAGCGCACCTGAAGGCACCTGAGGACACCTGAGCGCACCTGAAGGCAGTCATGACTGGACCAACGCCAAAGGCAGGAAGAATCGCAGCCCACCTGAGCCCACCTGAGCCTACCTGAGGCCACCTGAACCCACCTGAAGACACCTGAGCGCACCTGAAGGCAGTCATGACTGGACCGACGCCAAAGGCAGCTGCCAGCACCATCTCTCGCATGAGACCCTGTGGAGGAAGGGAATAAAGAGGGGGCCAGCAAATCAGACGATATAATAAACCAGCGGACCATACCCCATACCCCATACCATACCCCATGCCCCATGCCCTGTGCCCCGTGCCATGCCCCCTTTCCCCCCCACGGCTTACCAGGACCTTGCTGGCAGCTGCTGCCACGCCCACCGTGCTGGCTGGCATATCCAAAGCCCTCGTCCCTTTTGAGAAATCACACCCCACACACTCACTACAATTAACAGCCCAACCTCCCCCCCTCACCACAGCCTACCAGGACCTTGCTGGCAGCAGCCGCAATGCCCACCGTGCTGGCCGCCCGGAGGGAGGAGACTGAGGGCCACGGGGAGAGGTGGGGATATATACACACAGAGAGATATGGGACAGGGAAAGGGGAAGATGGGGGACGGGAGGGGGGATTGGAGACAGTGAGTGGGAGCTGCTGCTGCCACGCCCACCGTGCTGGCCGCCCGGAGGGAGGAGACTGAGGGCCACGGGGAGAGGTGGGGATATATACACACAGAGAGATATGGGACAGGGAAAGGGGAAGATGGGGGACGGGAGGGGGGATTGGAGACAGTGAGTGGGAGCTGCTGCTGCCACGCCCACCGTGCTGGCCGCCCGGAGGGAGGAGACTGAGGGCCACGGGGAGAGGTGGGGATATATACACACAGAGAGATATGGGACAGGGAAAGGGGAAGATGGGGGACGGGAGGGGGGATTGGAGACAGTGAGTGGGAGCTGCTGCTGCCACGCCCACCGTGCTGGCCGCCCGGAGGAAGGAGACTGGAACGCACGCACAGAGGGGGGGAGATGGAACGGGAAAGAGGGGAAGAGGGGAAGAGGAAGGAACGAGAGGGATGATGGGGGAGGAAGGGGGGGTGGGGGATTTGAGGGGTGGAGGTTCCGGGTTTAGCGGAAGGCGGTGGGGCAGAGAGGGGAAGAGGAGGGAGAAAGGGGAAAGGAGGGAGGTTAAGGGGGAAGGGGGAGGGAAGGAGGAAGGGGGAGGGGCGATAGGGGAGAGGGTAAGGGGGAAAGAGGAGGGGGAAGGGGAGAGGGGGAAGGGGAGGAGGCGTTGCGCTCACCGTCGTCTCGCCCCCCGATAGCGTCTCCCGCGCCACAAAGGGGGAACGGGGAGGAGGGGAAGGGGGGAGGAGGGGGAGGGAGGAGGAGGAGAAGGGGGTGGAAGGGGAGGGCGGGGGTGGGAAATGAGGAGGAGTTGCGCTCACCGTCGTCTCGCCCCTCCACAGATTTTCTCTCCCCACCGTCGATTTCGTCTCCCCTTTCAACGTCTACCTCCTCGCCTCTCCCCGCACTTCCCGCCGCGATTCGCGCCACCAAATGAGTTTCCCGCCCTTGCTTCCCGCCTGTGAGAAAACCCTCTCCCCGTCCCCCTCTCCGCCCATTATCCGCCTCCGCCGCTCCCCCATGCCTAGCGCCGCTTGCGCGCGCCAGGGCCAACGACCGTCCGCCACGTGTCAGGCCTACATTTGCTACTCCACCCCACAAAAATCCGACGATACCGCTACGTATACCGCTCACGCTAGCGCTGCTGCTGCTAGAGGAAGAGGGAATAGGGAACAAAGGGACGGTTGCGGAAAATAAGGTGCTGGGGGTGGAGAGACGAAGGGCAGCGGACGACATTGCGCACCGAGTGGGGCATCGTGGCACGTGGGATCAGCTAATAAAAATATGTTTCGCTCTGTGAACGGCTCTCGTAGCTCAGTTGGTTAGAGCGTATGGCTGTTAACCATAAGGTCGGTGGTTCAAGCCCACCTGGGAGCGCTTTTATGCTTAGGTTGTGCTATCCCATGCGTGCTTGTTCCAACCTTTTCTAGCCTCCCCCTGCCCTTTTATGCTTAGGTTGTGCTATCCCATGCTTGCTTGTTCCAACCTTTTCTAGCCTCCCCCTGCCCCTTTTATTCCCTCAGACACTGTCTAACAGCCATGCTGCCCCATGAAGACCTGTGCTAGTCAGGACCGTGGGTGGGACCTTCCCTCCCTTCCCTTCAAGGTTGGAGAGCTTTGGTGTGCTTTACTGTGAGGTACATTGTGGTGCTGTACGGTGATGGGGTATTGGGTTGAGTGGAATGCACCTCCAGCAATGGTGAGTGAGTGGAGGTGACAAATTGGTTGTTTGGTATGTGTTGCACTCTGGTGGGACATTGCAACGGTAGCTTCCGGCTTTCAACTGAGAATCTTGGTGCACCACATATCACCTGATGTGAATCTATTTTTCTCTGCATTGCAATTTACCCGTCCTCCCTCTTTTCCCCTTCCCTCAACCCCCCCTCCCCTGGCCCCACCCACCACCCACCTCGTTTACATTCCAGCATAAGCTGTCTAGCTGATGCCAAGCACTATCACCCCATCCCGTCCAACAGGGTTGTTCTCCACCCAGGGGATCGCTTCATAATCCAAAATACCGGTATAAGGGGCCCATTTTTTCAGGAAAAGAGTCCAATGTGATAGAGCTGTGAGTTGTGATAAATAAAGCTATCGGTGGTAGTGTAATCTGTCGACCATACCCAGTATAGGGGAGAGCAATATCGCCAATCCCGTTGCCACCCTACACAACAAATGTATACATGGTCAGAACTGCTACAATGTGAGACATGCCCCCAAACCGGTCAGACTCTAAGGCTCAGCTTGTCACCCTCTACACAGGTAGAACAACTTAGAGCCGCCTGAGGTGCTGGTGGAATACTGGTGGGGGCATTTGTCTCTGTAAGGTGGTAGAATAAATCTTGCTGTATGGTACCAGAACTGTCCTCGCTGTGAGTTTCCTATGAATGCAAGAGATTGGCATTTTCTACGCAGTAACAGCCTAATCAGTAAGCGTGGTACTTCGTATGCGTGTACCACAAATTTTGTACGCGGTATTGGCGTCTAGTTGATGCCGGTGAGGAACACAGCCGCGTCCGTCGTATGAACCGCAAGCTTCTTCGCCATGTAGAACACGTCGCCGTTGACTATAGTGATTGTGCTTCTAGGCGCAACCCTCCCTTGAAGCAAAACGCGGTTCTTCGGGTTTGGCTTGGACGCTTTTACGCCAATAGCGACGGTTGTCATAGGAGTGTTCATTCACAGGAGTGTACACGCCCTGGATCGCCTGGTAACTGACGAGCGTCGCGAGCTGGCTCGCACTGTAGCTCGTAACTTTCACCTTATCGAGTGCCTCGTTACTGGGTACGAGCAGCGTGAGAGGCTGCTGGAGAGCCGAGCTGACCTCTTTGATTTGGCCTGGAAGCAGAAGACGCGAGGAAGGGGGAGGGACGGGGATGAGAGGTTGAGAGAGAATGAGCGGGAGAAAAAGGTGAGCAAAGCAGGAATAAAGACGAGAGGCGAGGGGAAGAAATACATTTCGTGGTGCCCAACATGGTAACCCATGATGTCCAACACATCGATACGAGACAGTGCGTGAATTAAGTCAGTTCGTGGGTCCGGAAACTAGACCGTGACATCAAACTCACTGTATAGCTTCGCGAGGGCCGCGAAATGAGTGTAACCCGTTTCGTTGAGCCTCTGCACCGCCTTTTTGAAGGGCGAAATTGAGCTTGTTTTCCCGGAATTTCCAGGATTCGTCAAGCTACCTCCCGACCCCTTTGCGCTAGTCCCTGACCTCTTACTATCACCGTTAGAGCCAATCAGTGCGCCCTTCACGGCGTTCGTTGCGGCGCAGAAAGCTAGACAGGAAGACGTAGCGAGCACGAGGACGATAAGACCCACGATTAGTTTAGACGCCATAGCAGGATGGGACCTACGGTAGTTACCAGGAGTAGATTCATCTACGGCTACTCGAACCCATTTCAAAGGATCACTTGATGACACGGATTTTGAAAGACGGCGAGGGCTAATCATCAATGCACGTGAGTTGAACCAGGGAGGTATGGAAGGTGTGCAGGGAGAAAAGTCGTCGACCCTTGTTTTCCTGCAGGAGCATGATGAGCGGATGGTGCTGATGCTTGCTAATGGGAGAACTGCTAGTGTGATGGATGAAATTGGGGGCTGAAATGGGTATTTGTACTTGGAGCGAGCATGACAGCAAAGACTGTCGGGTTCTTGCGGTGTATGTGGGTTTCCATCACGGTTCAGTGTGGGAAGGATTGGTGTCACCCGAACTTGCTTTACACCGCATTAGACCTGCGATAACCGAAAAGACTCGTGAAAATTGAGTCATGGGAATTGGAATTGGAATTGAAATTGGACTGGCGGTGGGGCCACGGCTTGAGCGCATTGGAGTGATGGAAGTGCGTGTTAATCAACGACGGCTCTCAATTTCGTCAACGTGGTGGTGGTCTCTCGCTTGGTGCCAGTAGGTGACAGTTTGGGTCGCCGGCAGGAGGGAGAGATAACGGCGAAAACCACGAAACAGACGGTGATGATGATGTGGACCGTCCGCTTCAACGCTCTTTGCCCTGAAGAAGATAGTCGGCGACGCAGATTCAGGACGACGGCGGCGGAAATTTTGCATGTCGGTTGACGGCAAATTTTAGCGGTTCCGGCTCGCACAATGGGCCCGTACTTCTTACAGAACTCTACGTTTAGTACCAAAGTCTGAAGAGATATTGTTCAGTGTACGGCTTACCTCGTATTCGCGTCGATGAGGATAGCTTTTCTCCAATCCACATCCACGAACTGATTGGAGCAGTTTTCGCGATCACTTTTTTTTTTTTTTCGCACAACGAACGGCGAAAGTCTAGGGGTAGGGTATCCCGAGCCAATTTCTCAATTTCGCCTCCAGCATCACACACGACACAAATCGTAACGCCTTCGCTGGGTTTTAGGTCGGCGTTTGCTCCCGCAAACCCCGAACCCCCTCCACCACAAAACCCCCTGCTTTCCTCGTTCTCCTGCCTTCCTCCCACCTACTTCTGCTTGCATTATCGATTAACTGGCTATTTGCGGGATCCGCTAAGCGTAGTAAACAAGCCGCTAATGGCAGGGACTAAAACGACTGCTGAGAAGAAGGGGAAGAAGAGAAAGGAAGAGACGGCCGATGGGGTGGAGAAAAAGAAGGCTAAAAAGGATGCGACTAAAGAAGCACATGCTAAAAGGGAGAGTATGTCGATCTTGGCTGCGCCGCGCCAAGTGCAGCTGAAGGTGAAAAAGGGCCAGGCTGCGGAGGACGCGAAGGTTGTCGCAAAGGAAGCAAAAAATGCTGCGAAGGTTGCGAAGAGTGCTGCGAAGGACGCGAAGCTAGCCGCGAAGATTGTTGCGAAGGATGCGAAGGATGGTGCGAAGGATGCGAAGAATGCTGCGAAGAATGCGGAGTGCTGCGAAGGAAGTGAAGGAAACGAAGGAAGTCAAGACGAAGACGGAGACAAAGGAAGAGAAGAAGGAGAAGAAGGGGAAAAAGGGGACGGAGACCTCGGAAGTTCGGAGGAGGAAGAAAAGAAGGAGGCAAAGGAAGTTACGAAGGGGAAAAAAAGGTCAGAAGACTACGGAGATTACAAAGAAAATAGAAAAGAAGGAGACGAAGGAAGAGAAGAAGGGGAAGAAGGTGAAGACGAAGGAGATGGAGCAAGTGGTAATGGGGAAGAAGATGAACGACGTGAAAGAGGAGAAGAAAGAGAAGGAGAAGGAGAAGGAGAAGGGGAAGAAAGGGAAGGGGAAGGGGAAGGGGAAGGAGAAGGAGAAGGAGGAGGGAGAGAAGACAGGCAAGAAAGGAAAGAAGGGCAAAGAGGAGGTGAAGGAGGAAAGCAGTGATGAGGAGATGGAGGAGGCGAGTGAGGAGGAGAGTGCGGAGGAGGAGAGTGAGGAGGAGGAGGAGGAAGAGAAGAAAGTAGTGAAAAAGGAGGAGAGCAACGAGGAGGAGAGTGAGGAGGAGGGGGGGAGGAGGAGGAGGAGGAGGAGGAGGAGGAGGAGGAGGAGGAGGAGGAGGAGGAGGAGGAGGAGGAGGAAAAGAAAGCGACAAAGGAGGAGAGCAGTGAGGAGGAGGAGAGTAGTGATGAGGAAGAGGAGGAGAGTGAGGAAGAGGAGGAAAAGAAAGTTGTGAAGGAGGAAAGTGAGGATGAGGAGGAGGAAGAGAAGAAAGTCATGAAAAAGGTAGCAGCAAAGGAGGATAGCAGTGAGGAGGAGGAGGAGAGTGAGGAGGAGGCTGAGGAAGATAAGAAGGTTGTGAAGGAGGAGAGTAGTGAGGAGGAGAGTAGTGAGAAGGAGGAGGAGGAGGAGGAGGAGGAGGAGGAGGAGGAGGAGGAGGAGGAGGAGGAGGAGGAGGAGAGGGAGGAGGAGGAGGAAGAGGAGAGCGAGGAGGAAGAAGAGGAAGAGCAGGAAGTTGTGAAGAAAGAGGAAAGTAGTGATGAGGAGGAGAGTGAAGATGAAGAAGAGGAAGAGAAGAAAGTTGTAAAGAAGGTAGCGGCAAAGGAGGAGAGCAGTGAGGAAGAGGAGAGTAGTGAGGAGGAGGAGGAAGTTAAGAAGGTTGTGAAAAAGGAGGAGAGCAGTGAGGAGGAGGAGGAGGAGGAGGAGGAGGAGGAGGAGGAGGAGGAGGAGGAGGAGGAGGAGGAGGAGGAGGAGGAGGAGGAGGAGGAGGAGGAGGAGGAGAGTAGTGAGGAGCAAGAAGAGAGTGAGGAGGAGGAAGAGGAGAAGAAAGTAGTGAAAAAAGAAGAGAGCAGTGAGGAAGAGGATAGTAGAGAGGAGGTGGAGGAGGAGGAGGAGGAGGAGGAGGAGGAGGAGGAGGAGGAGGAGGAGGAGGAGGAGGAGGAGGAGGAGGAGGAGGAGGAGGAGAGAGTGAAGAGGAGGAAGAGAGTGAGGAGGAAGAGGAAGAGAGTGAGGAGGAAGAGGAAGAGAAGAAAGTTGTGAAAAAGGAAGAGAGCAGTGAGGAGGAGAGCAGTGAGGAAGAGGACGAGGAGGAGATTTAGGAGGAAAAGGAAGTTGTGAAAAAGGAGGAACGCAGTGAGAAAGAGAGCATTGAGGAGGAAGATGGTGAGGAGGAGAGTGAGGAAGAGGAGGAAGAGAAAGCGAAGAATTCAAATGTGAAGGAGACCAAGAAGGAAAGAGGGGGTCGGCAGCAGCAGCAGAAGGAGCAGCAGAAACAGCAGGAGGAGCAGCAGAAACAGCAGGAGGAGCAGCAGAAACAGCAGGAGGAGCAGCAGAAACAGCAGGAGGAGCAGCAGAAACAGCAGGAGGAGCAGCAGAAACAGCAGGAGGAGCAGCAGAAACAGCAGGAGGAGCAGCAGCAGAATGGATGGCAGACGACCCCTGCCAAGGTATTTGTGGTCGGTAGGGTACTGGGTGGGCGGCAGGGTACTGTGTGGGCGGCAGGGTACTGGGTGGGCGGCAGGGTACTGGTGGGCGGCAGGATACTGGGTGGGCGGCAGGGTACTGTGTGGGCGGCAGGGTACTGGGTGGGCGGCAGGGTACTGGGTGGGCGGCAGGATACTGGGTGGGTGGCAGGGTACTGTGTGGGCGGCAGGGTACTGGGTGGGCGGCAGGGTACTGGGTGGGCAGCAGGGTACTGGCAAGCCGGGGAGCGCTGCAAGAACTCCATCCCATGCTTTATTCCCATGCCTCTTCTACTCCCCCTCCCACCCCACCCCACTCAGCTCACCGGCAGCAAGAAGCGCTTTGATGCCATCTCACCGGGATCAGGGAACAAGCTGGGCAGTGAAGCAAGAGCTCCATCCCATGCTTTATTCCCATGCCTCTTCTACTCCCCCTCCCACCCCACCCCACTCAGCTCACCGGCAGCAAGAGGAGCTTTGATGCCATCACACCGGGATCAGGGAACAAGCCGGGCAGTGAAGCAAGAGCTCCATCCCATGCTTTATTCCCCATGCCTCTTCTACTCCCCCTCTCACCCCACCCCACTCAGCTCACCGGCAGCAAGAGGAGCTTTGACGCCATCTCCCCAGGATCGGGGAGCAAGCCCAAGCTGCGCTGCGAAGAGCTCCTCCCCATGCTCCACCCCATGCTCCACCCATGCTCCACCTGGGCACAAGGCGAGGCTATATATAGGCTCGACACAAAGGCAGTAACCCGGGTGTTACTAGAAGGTTCCGCGGGTCACGAAGCGTCCCGAACGGGTCCTTCCCGAATTCGGTAGAAGGCAATTCGGTGGCAACCGAAAAGCCTAGAATTCGGTGCACTCAACCTAGTTCGGTGCCTAAAACTATAATAATATAGTAAAAGCAACGAACCTAGGAATTCTAGCAAAAGCAAGCAAAATAAAGCAAAGCTAAGCTAGATAATGCATAGTAAAGCAGAATCAAGCTACTAAAGCGTAGCAATGACGTCGTACTCTCACACGTCCCCCCCTCAAAGCTGGGTGGCGTGAGAAACACCCTGCTTGACAAGATAGTACTTGAGAGCACGGCGTGCGTTGCCCATATCAGTATCTGCAACCCAACTGTCCTCCGATGGGTCATATCCCCTCCAGCGTATCAGGAACTCGAGCGTGTTGCCGCGTCTGCGTCGATGAGCGAGAACTTTTTCCACCTCGTACTCTGGTTCATCCTGTATGAGAACAGGTGATGGTGGCGGTAGCTAACGTCCCTGGAACTGTTGGTTGGGGTCCTTGTAGGGCTTTTGTAGCTGAACATGGAAAGCGTTATGAAGCTTCCAAGTAATAGGTAAGCGCAAGCGGAATGTAACTGGTGTCATGATCGCCTCAACGCGAAAGGGACCACAGAAGCGAGGCCGGAGCTTGGACGGTAGGTGAGACAGGTTCAAGTTGTGCGTGTCAAGAAGCACCTGATCTCCGACTGCTACTGAGTGATCACGTCGCTGGCGATCGGCATACTGCTTCTGGGAGTTCTGCATCGTGGTGAGACGTCGCTGAGTCTTCTCCCATAGCTGCTGCATGGTGGTGACGAAGTCGTGTGCGGCTTGGACGTGTGCCGGTGTGGTTGGCTGCTGTGGTGTAAGTGGTTCCCGTCCGTAGCACAGGAAGAATGGAGATTTCCCTGTGGCCGCATGTGACGCGTTATTGTAAGCAAACTCAAGTGTCGGTAACTGTGAATCCCAGTGGCTAACGTCGGCTTTGCAAGCTGTGTGCAGTAACTGTTCAACCACCTGATTGAGTCGCTCTGTCTGTCCGTCAGTCTGGGGGTGGTACGCTGAAGACATCGCAAGCTTTGTCCCCAACAATCGTCAGTCTGGGGGTGGTACGCTGAAGACATCGCAAGCTTTGTCCCCAACAATCCCATGAGTTCCCTCCAGAACTTACTAGTGAACTTAGGGTCTCTGTCCGAGATAAGTGTAGCGGGGATGCCGTGGATGGTGATGATGCGGTCGAAGAAGAGGTGAGCAGTTGCTTCAGCAGTAGCCGTGGCGTTGGTCGGGATGAAGTGTCCCATTTTAGAGAACTTATTGATAACCACGAGTATAGCTTCATGCCCTCGTGAGGTCGAAGAAAGCCCAGTAATGAAGTCTAGGCTGACAACTTGCCATGGCTGCTCCGGGACGGGTAGAGGCTGAAGTAACCCTACTTTTTTCTGCTTGCTACTCTTCATCCGCTGGCACGTGTTGCATGAGGTGACGAACTGCTGCACGTCTGTTGCCATCCGGGGCCAGTAATAATACTTTGCTATTCCCGCTAACGTTTTGTTGCTCCCGAAATGTCCCGCGTATGCCACATCGTGAAACTCCTCCAGTAAGATCTGTCGGAGCGGGGCATAGTTCGGTACCCAAATCTTCCCTGATCCCTTTCTTTCAGCTAATTCCTTCTCCCACTGTAACAGTTTCTGTTTCTCTGCTGTAGCGATCTCTGCGTCCACGGAGTACCCATGCTGGAATAGACCCTTGAGCAGAGGGTTCATCCCGTCGAGTTGGATGCCTGCTACATGACCGGGGCGGCTCCACGCGTTAGCTTTGTTGTGTAGCCCGGGCTTGTAGACAATGTCGTAGTGGAAGTGGGTCTCCAAGAAGTCTACCCACCGCACCTGTCGTCGTGAGAGCGTCGGCTGCGACTTCAGGTATTTGAGGCTGCAGTGGTCAGTGTAAACTGTAGTCTTGGCTCCCTCTAGGTAACACCTCCACGCCTTGAAGGCTGTGACTATCGCTAAGGCTTCCTTGTCATGGATAGGGTAGTTCAGTTCTGCTCCGTGTAGCTTCTTACTCAGATAGGCGATGGGCTGCAAACCGCGTCCGTGATCCTGCATCAGTACTGCTCCGACTGCTTGGTCACTAGCGTCTGCTTCCACCACGTAGTCTCTGTCTGGATTCGGTAGGATGAGTACTGGCGCTGTAGTCAGTGCTGTCTGTAGCTGCTCCATGGCTTGCTGATGAGGAGTATCCCCTGTATCCGTCCACCTTCGCAGCTTCACACGTTTCCCGTTGTTGTAGATACACGCCTTCCGGTTGACCCAGTCGATCTCGGGGTTGAACCGCTTCAGAAAATCACGCCCCAAGATGAAATCTAATCCCTTGATGTTCGTGATCGGCAACGTCGGCTTCCACCTTAACGCTCCTATCTGTAGCTGCAGTGTTGACTCGCCGTGGATGGGAAGCTTCGTACTGTCCACCATCGTTGCTGTAAACTGGGTCTCTTCTGAGGATTCTTCAATTTTCTCCAACGTCCCGCGGTCGTACACCGAGTGGGACGCACCACTGTCCACCAGTGTCTGGAGGCGTCGCCCGTTGCAGATCACCTCGAGTACTAGTGGCTGTTGCTGCTCCGAGTAGCCGTAGATGGTATCGCTTATAGGATCGTAGGGTACGTCGAATATGTCATCCCTAGGTCCTGCGCTCGAAGATGCAGCTTCAATATCAGGTATCACCTGAGTAGGGTACAGCTTCTCTTGAGCCTGGAACCTTCCCCTAGGCCTTTGCAGCTGTGTAGGCTTCATCTGTGGGGAACAAGGACCCTTTAAACAGAGCTGCTGGGAGAGAATATTAACTCCTCGGAACGCTCGACCCTTGTTAGCGCTCCGGAGTAGGGTCCCCATATTACCCGGTACCGGTTTAATTTCTGACTCTCCCTTAATAAAGGCTTGAAACCCACGAGAAGTAATATTCTTACTTGTCGGGGTGTACGGCTGGAGTTTCCCAGTCGGTGCAGGGTCTTGTTTCGCGGAGTCTCCATTTGTCTCGGCGATTTCCCCTGGTGCCGGCTGGTCGTGACGTTTTAAATTCGCGCCATCATATTCTCCTTTTTTCGCCCTCTCCAAAGTTGCCACGTTGTTTGTTTTCTGCTTCGGGGGTGCCGCACTGTTCTTGTATCTCAGCTCCGCACGCCTTCCCTTCATTTCCCAACACGCCAAGATACGATGTCCTGTAGCGCCGCAAAATTTGTACGTCTCAGTTTTTGCTAGCCGCTGCTCCACATCGCCCTCGTCGTTCTCCATCGGTTCAGCAGTCGTGGGTGGTGCCAATCGCCCCATGCCACTAGTTGGCTTGTTGCGTCGTGTTCCGTAGTAGCTACTGTTCAACGTGTCGAACTGTTCGATCAGTGCTGCCCGAAACTGCGCCCACGTCCCTTCGCCTTGGACTATTCTGTTGTTGATCCACTCTAGAGCTGGGCCTTGTAACAGTGTTGCTGCGAGCCGTATGCGCATTGCGTCTTCTGTCGGGGTCGTGCACCCAACGGCTTCGAAGTAAATTTCGAGTTCAGCTACAAATCGACGAACGTCGTTCCCTTTAACTATAGGATCGAACGCCTCCGGTAGCCTCAGCTTCACTGCTTCGAGGTTAACTGTAGCTGCTGCCGTTGTCGCAGGTAGAATTGTCGGTGTCGTCACCGCTGTTGCTGCTGCTGCTGTCGCTGCTGCATTCGCTGCTGCTGTGGCGGTTGCCGACTGGTTCGCAAGGAGTTTCTCGAGTCGTGGGAGCGCCGCACGTATCTGCTTATGCTCGGCACATAACTGCGCGATTATCTGTACTGAAAGATCTCTTTTTCCCTCCATTTGGCGATTTACAGAAAGAAGCGCGACGAAATGTATTTGAATTTTGGGTGCTGGTCGACTTACTGCGAGTCGAGTTGATTGAAGAACCGACGAGCACAAATTCTGTAAGTCGCGTAAATCTTCCTTAGTCGAAATTCGCGTTCGATCTCGGCCGTTGAGAAGAAACTCGATCCGACGCTCCAAATTCCAACTTTTTGGGGCGAAATTCTCTGGGCCGTTGAGATGAAACTCGATCGAACGGTCGAAACTCCAACCTTTCCACCAGAAAATCTGAGGGGTGTTAAGATAGTAAGGAGAATTAGGAGCCATAGCTAGGAGAACCCTAGCTAGGCAAGAGAAAGTTTAGGCAAAAGAGAGGAGTTTCACTAGCAGCAATGAGGAT